CAGTTTGTGCATTTACAGACTATAGGTTATAACCATTTCAAAGCTGATATCTGCAGGTATGATCGTATAATATTGACCGTTCTTATTACATTGAAAAAGTTCGCAAAAGGATGAAGCAAGTGTTAGTAAATCATCAACATATGAGCGAACCGTGTCATTTCTACGCAACCAAATACTTTCATTATACTTGAGCTCTGGGAAGAAGTGTTTTGTCAAATGTTTATTTGACATCTATAACATTAAAATTAGTTATAGTGTCTGATCGAAAAACGCTTTACGAAGATTTGATTGTTAAAGGTGGTAGGACCTGAAAAAATTATGCAAAAGCGTCTTTAATGATATTTATTCGCAAATGTTACCTTCTTCGTCGGAATACAAAAAAGGTGCTAACTTCTTTCAGTTCGCTCATCATCGTTAACGTATATTTTGCTCCTCGGACGAAAGTATCCCAACCAACTATTCCAAGAATTCTGGGTAGCACTTCTGACGTTCCGCTCACTACCGGCCTCATCCACGAAGAATCTCAAGCGTGGGCCATAATAAGTAGCACCTCTGACTCGATGACTATATCCCCACAGACTACCACCTCGCCAAGTTTTTCGAGGTGGCTTCTTCTTTTGCCATTCCCAAGGTGCCCGTCTGTATATATCAACCCATGCAGTGGTTCGTCTTCTTGTAGATCGTCTCCTAGTAGTTCGTGTTGACGTCGTTCTTGGTTTGGTGATTTTTCGCACAGGAGTTTGTGGTTTAGAAGGTTTCTTGGTGGTAGTGGTTTCTCTTTCAGTAATTTCTGCTTCAGGAAGTTCAGGCGTGGTAGTGGTTTTTCTTTCAGTAATTTCTGTTTCAGGAAGTTCAGGCGTGGTAGTGGTTTCTTCCGTAGTAGTTCTAGGAAGGGTAGTAGTTTCCCTTGTCGTTGTAGTTGTCGTTGTCGTTGTCGTTGTCGTTGTCGTTGTTGTTCTCGTGAGTTTGAATTTCCAAGGCGTGTCGTCTTCATAATCAAAATCATCGGCGGCCATATGAGCAGATTCACCTAAATTTTTGGAACCTTTCACACGTTGTCTCCCTTCTCTTTTGCTGAGAATTTCCTTCAAAGCGTCCTTTTCCAATGTCTCGTTTCTGAGCGACCAAGGATGTCCTGACGATACTACCCTTGGAGGCCATCGCTTGAGCCTCCTAAACGCTCTTTTGTCTGTAGCTTTCCGCTGACTTCTTCTCTCTCCCAAACTAGTATTAGTGAATTTGCTTCCTA